ATTTTTTCGTAAGTTTGATATTGTGTAAAGATAGTATTGATACAAATGTATTTGTTCAGACACAGGCATTAATCAGGAAACTCTTTATTTATTTAGCCTTTTTATCATTTATTGGATTTGACTTTTTTTTACTATAATTTGACACTTTTTTCTTCATGTGGGGGTCTGGATTTAAACACGGTAGACCTGATCCCTTCTGTTGCTCAAAAATAATGGCTTTACATAGTTACATAGTTACATAGTATTTGAGGTTGAATAAAGACATTAGTCCATCAAGTCCAACCTATTAGGATCTCATTCTAGGAGTACCATGGAGGGGAAGGAATGTCAATCAGCAAAGTGGTGAGATGACTGGGCAGGGATGGGCAGTCAGTAGGGGGGTGAGTGAAGCAATTAGAGAGTGATGTATGTCAATGAGTGTGGGGAGATGAAGCGGAAGGAAAGGGATGACTTATTAGTAGGGTTGCACAGATACCAAGTACAGTACTCGGTACAAGTACAAATACATGTACCGATACTTTTGAGCTCCAAGACTACACTAGAGAAAAATGCAAAAGTTAGGAGGCAGCTGTCATTTGTAAGGAGCACACGGAGCTCCTGGGATTTGTACATCTCTGTTTTAATGTACAATTTTGTTTTTATAAATAAAGGGATGCACAGATACCAGTTTTGCGAGTACTAGTACTTGCCGAGTACTTACAAGTACGAGTACTGATACATTTTTGTTTATTGTCATGTGACAGTTTTTCTTAAACAATACAGACTAATGATTTCAGGACAGTGGTGGGGCGCCAGAGCCAGGTCCCAGCTGCAACCGCTGCAACCCTGGTAGTTCTCATGAAAATGCCAAGTATCGGCACTGGTACTCGAAAAGTATCTGTGCATCCCTACTTATTAGGCAATGAGACAGGTATGTTGAGACAAATGGGAAGGGATGGGAAGAGGCAGCCAGAGAAAGATGTATGCCAGTGCGGGGTGAGGCTGCTAGGATGGTGGTGTAGTGACTGGAGAGGGATGCCCATCAGTGGAGGTAAGCTAAGGCAGCCATGGAGTGATGTGGTAAAACAACTAGGATATCTATCGGGGAGGGGGCCAAATAGAGATGTCAGTGGGGGTAAAAAACCTCATCCAGCTCTTGATCGACCTCTTTATAAGGCAGCCCCTAGCTGTCAACTGTTCTTTACCTTGTGGATCAAAGCCTGCTCCACGCTCTCACTGGCAGTAGAGTGTCTCCTGAGACAACGATGACACTGCTGCCCACACATCCACCAACACAACTGTATATCATTCCCCTGCTTTAAATTTTGTTAGACTGACTCAGTTCCCCCTTCCCCCAATTGGCAATTACAGAAATCACCTTCAAGCTCGGCACTCTGCACCCGGGCATGGGATCTACTGCATGAGAACCGCCAACAGTAAAACCAGGCGTGAGATACATCTATGTGGTTCTAGGGGACGTGGAAGAGCAGTGGCCGTGGCCTGTAATGGGAGCATTCATTCAGCTCCTAGGATTTTGTAAGGGACCATGTGCTGCCTGCTGTGCTCCAAACCTGAACGGAGGTCTACCCAGCGGGCCCATGCTGAGCTCTAGCAGGGCAAGAGAGCTTTGAACACTAATGTACAATTTCTACAAATAGGTTTCTGTGGCTCAATGGTTAGCTCCTGTGCTGTGCAAATTAAGGTCCTATCACAGATTCCCGACTAAAGCCCAAACTGCAGTACCAACTGCTTGCCCTTGAATAAAAACAAAAAAATGCCGATCCTGCATGTGACCTACAACATAGACAAACATCACATGGTCTCTAGCAAACATTGTGGATGCTTCACTCCATTACAGGCTTTAGAGCATGGGTCTTCACATTTTTCAGACAAAGACAAAAGTCCTTCAGTCAGCAGTACCGCTTGAAAAGAGAAGGCCCTAAATGGCAAAGCAGCGGGCTGTATTTTGAAGGAGAGAGTTAATTGTTTTTAATCACATGGATCCCGTCTGGAAGACATGCAGTGAGCTAAGATTATCATCAAGGTACAACCATTGTGCAACACTAAAAGGGAAGCAGAGCTGCATATGTATTGAGGACATATTACTATTAAAATTATAGAGGAAATATTTCTTATTCAATCTATAGAATACTTTATGAAAGCTGAATTGGTCTTGCTATCAGCCTTTTGCAATCTGCAGCACAGCAACACTTAGGCTCAAAGTAAAACAAATAAACAGGTTCAGGGTCCTTGCTGCTCAATCGAAGGTTTATTCCCCAAATAAAAGTCACTAACAGCTGCACAGCAACAAAGAAAGCTTTTAGTCGCTGACAAATAAGTGTGGGGGGGACTGAGGGAGAAAAAAGGTGCTGATTCTCAGGTGGCTGTGCAGGCTCTCAGGTGGCTGTGCAAGTAATATGGTGGGTTGTGCGGGCTCTCAGGTGGCAGGGCGGTCTCACTAGGAATCCCGGTCGCTCTCGGCAGGTGAGGGCAGCTTGGATCTACAGAGAGAAGGAAATTTCCTGCCGGCACTGTAAACAGGCGCAAGGTCCCAGCAGCCTTTCTGTGAAACCTGGCATCTGTTTACATCGCCGGCTTCTGGCTACTCCGGTATTTGTGCATTCCTAGTCAGTATATTGAGTGTTTTGTCCTCCTCTCTGCTGCCGACTGCTGGGACAAGGTAGGGGCGGAGACAAGGAGGTTGCCACAGCCGCAGGAGAGGTGGTGCGAGGGCCACATGAAATGGCCTGGGAGTCTGGATTCGTCCCATGGGCCTTGTGTTTGACACATGTGGTCTAGACTCAAAAATAACAGTTATACTCACCCAAAGCTCCAAGCCGGTGATCAATCGAAAGTTCGAACTTATCGAGTTCTGGGACCGCATTACTTCCGGTTTCCTTAGAACTACGAGGTTTGCACACAAAACTTCTTCTGCACGAGCGCCATCCGCGGCATTGCTCTATTCACATGCACAACAGCAATAAAGTAATAAAATGAAGTGGGATGACAGTAATCAAGCACGTTATTTATCTCCGGTGCCCCACTCAAGCGGCGGCCATATTGAGTGGGGCACCGGAGATAAATAACGTGCTTGATTACTGTCATCCCACTTAATTTTAATACTTTATTGCTTTGGTGTATGTGTATAGGGCAATGCCGCGGATGGCGCTCGTGCACAACAAATTTCTTGCCCAAAACTCGTAGTTCTAAGGAAACCGGAAGTCATGCGGTGCCACAACTCGATAAGTTTGGACTACCAACAGAACACCGGCTTCTTCTTAGACTAGTCATTCCAGCATCTCTCCCCTTCCTCTCAAGCAGTCTAAGGTCCCGTAAAACAACACATCTATATACAACGAGGAAGATTTGCTGTGACAGCTGGCCAGCTTGGAGCTTTGGGTGAGTATATCTTTGTTATTTTAGCACCTAGACACAAATAAGCTCATACACCTTGTAATGTGGGGGGTAGACCACTACCGCATCAAATCTCGGTGCTGTCATGTAGCAATGATTGCCTACCACAACATCCCTTCTGCACAAGCACAGAATCCAAAGCTGTTTGCATGTGTCCGCACATCCAGAGGTTACATGTGGTTAGAGAAAGATGAGTGACTCTGGACGTAAACAGGCTCAGCTGTCCACAGTTGCAGGAATACACTGACATGACACATATCGGCCCTAACGGCCCATATGAATGAGTCCTAAAATGCAGAGAAGACTCCACTGATGTTCAGTTATGGTAATGGTTCCACAAACGGCTACAAATATAGCGGAATATATAAAAGAAAGCATGAATTCATGCAGAACAGCACAAGGTTAATATGGTGTGTTGTATTATCCATTATTATGCACATTGACATGCATTTTCAACACGCTGCGCTCTACTTTATTGGATGCTATGTAGGGCCGCAACCAACTAATCAATATTGAGAATAGTTGTCAACTATTCTCATTATTGATTAGCTGGTTGAGTCCCCTAGCTCTCTCCTCCACACTGGGAGGAGGGCACAGCAAGCAGTGAGCGGGTGCAATAGCCAGCCTGCTATTGCAATGTGAAATGGCCAATAGCAGGGAGGTTATTGTACCAGCCCAGTACCTGCTGTATTTACATTCAGCTGCCTTCTGCGGAATCTGGCCACTGGCAGCTGCCATTCCCTGGCTAATGGGTGGAGAAAAAAAAGTTATTTCTTGTTTCGGCCTGCCAAATTCTGCTTCGGGAGGTGCACTGCAGTGCTATTCTCTTCAATGGCACCCCAAACGCGCCTCCCACCCACAGTGTGATCACTCGCACTGGACCGCACTGCCTTCCAGTGCAGTGCAATAAAATGTGCATGCAGTTTTATTGTGAAGTAAACTATGGGGGGAATTGATCAAAACTGGAGCGGAGAGAATCAGGAGCAGCTGTCCAGGGCATCTAATCAGCGTCTCTCTTCAGTGTGTTCAGTCAAGATTTGAAAATGAAACAGAGAGACTGATTGGTTGCCATAGGCTACTGCTCCAGATTTTGTCTGCTCCACTTTTGATAAATTCCCTTCTATGTTGGTAACACTGGATTTGTGCATTTTATTTTAAATTAAGGATGCCATTTCCTATCAAAAAAAAATCGCCCAACTAATCGATTAAGAAAATTATTATTACTTGCAGGCCTAACTCGATGTGTTTTTTAAAATGCATTGTTTCTGTACAGGCCAAGTCAGGGGTCTTTTGATAGGTGCTGCGTTGCCTTGTTCGGCATTAATACGTAATTTGGTACTACAGGATGCCTGCAATATTCCTCAATACACACCGACGCCCGCTGTGAACCTGGCACATAGGCAGCAATTGGTTTTAATGTGTCTTCGCACATTGAGCCTGCACCAACTCACCTAGTGTGAACGAGCACCTAGTTTATAGACAATGCCCAGCACCTACAGCCTATCACATGAACCTGTACGCAATTATCAGCTTCCGGCTATTCAAAAAACAGAAAAACTACCGCACACCGGTAACGGAACAATATAGACGCGAACACAACAAATTACCAGCAACTCCACGTCTCCCTCCGCACCGGCTCCTTAGCAACCTGCAGTCACGTACAGCGCACGTCGTACGTCTCCCGCGGAAGAGGTGCCGATGTTTCCACTGTATCACTCCGCCGCTTTTCTACTCAGCTCTTTACAAAGCCACTTCATTTTTTTATAAGCAAGGAAATTCGTACGACAATGTGGGGACAATTATCAAGTGCTTTACACCTGACGGCGAGACACCGCACGTTCCAAAAAGAATCCACAGAACTATATTCTTCACAGTAATCACACTATGTAATGTTCCGCGACCCGGAGCATGCCGGTAGTTGTGGTTTGTTAGAGTGGCCGGTGATGTGTATACACACGGTGAAGCTTGCCTATTGGGTATAACACGTGGCCAGGGATTGGCTGTCTTGGTGTTCCAGACCTCTCTCTGTTTGACTCAGTGCTGAAGGAGGGCGGGGCGCTGATTGGTTGGCAGGATGAGGATGCGGCGGCAGACAGTGGAAGGGGGCGGTGACGTAGAACCGTCTGGATGGGAGTGGTGAGACATCTGTGTGCTGCTGTGACATAAGAACGTGACGTCAGGTAGGTGCTCCGTCACCTCATTCTCACTACACTGATTTCCATACGCCGGGGACGTGTAACATGACAAGTGTGACAGGAGGCTGGCAGAGGGGGCTGGGTGAGGGGGGAGTGGCAGTGGGCACAATGGTGGGTTCTCTGATGGTGACAATAGAAGCTGCTATGGGTGACACAGGTGTCTGCATTACTATGTGGATAGAATAGGCTCACTGCAGGATTTCTGGGTACCTGAAGAGCAACTTCACCCCAATCCTGAACGACACCCCAAAACGAATAATGTAAAAGGGCACAAATACAAATGTTAAAGGTAAAAAACCCTTCTCACCTTTCCACGCCATCTCATGTTACCTTGTGTTCCAGCCAACGTTGAGTGTGCCACCTCGGTCCTGAGCTGCCATCTTCACTGCGGGCATCTGCCTTGTTTTCCAAAACATCTGCACACCCAGCGCTCTAGCCAAGGAATCATATTGTTTACACATTGCCATAATATCGGCGACATGTAAATAATATGATGCCTCTTGTAGGGTGCTGGGTGCCCATGTGCTGCCAATCCATCCCACACATGCACCCAGCGCTCTAGCCAAGGAATCATATTGTTTACACATTGCCATAATATCGGCGACATGTAAATAATATGATGCCTCTTGTAGGGTGCTGGGTGCCCATGTGCTGCCAATCCCACACATGCACCCAGCGCTCTAGCCAGGGAATCATATTGTTTACACATTGCCAAAATATCGGTGCCCATGTGCTGCCAATCCTACACATGCGCACGAAACGCTTTAGCCGTGGCTTCATATTATTTACACATCATTGCGGATACTTTGTCAGCCTGTAAACAATATGATTCCCTGGCTAGAGCGCTGTGTGCACAGGTGTGGGATTGGTATTGTGGGCGCACCCACCCAGACTCCTGGGATACATGACGTTCATATCCTAGCAGTCTGTGGGCAGTACAGCTATGTCATTCAGGCCTAGCCAGGAAATGTGGGGAAGAAAACCAAAAGAAAGTATTTATAAAACAATACAAAGCAGTATTTCATTTAGTAAACTCCTGGGGGAAAATATTAGTATTCTCTCAACTTGTAAAAGAGATTAAAGATCTGCTTTAAAAAAAACTCCAAAAACGGGCGACTAAAATCTTAACCCCTTTGCAGTGGGGCTACCCCATGCAGTGTAAGTGTTAACGTGATATCAAAGGCTAAAGGTTTATAAGCTAGTTTAGTTTCCTGCAGAATCACCTGGTCCCCTGAGCACTGTCCCTGATCTCCTGTTTAAGGGTGACTCCTTTACCTTGCAGGGTCCTATGGAGCCACCATTGTGTGTGCCAGTTAGCTAATACCCAAACAGTGATTGCATCTGATTGGCTGCAGTCACTGTTTGTCAACAATTTTTGGCCCATCTCCTTTGACAAAAATCGATAAAAAAATACACCCACCACCAATGAGGAGATACTATCAAAATAATGTAAGACAGTGCTGGACAAATCCCAGAAGCCAGGTAGCCAATGCACTGTAAAATTACAGCCGGTGCATAACTTTTGAGCTTCTCTAGTTGTTGCCAATGGAGCTGGCTGCTAAAAGAAATCCAGATGGCTCCTGGATTGGACAGACGGGCTCCTGAATTCCAGGTGAATCTGTGCACTGCTGATGCAAGACATATGTAGCCATTAAACCAGCCAACCAATGCTTTCTAAGAATCATGTATTTCTGTGTGGTCATTGACGGCCTTTGTCTTCATCAGCTTTGATATGTAGCCGACTCCACTCTGTAATGTCTCTAAAAGTGTCGTGCTTGCAGTCCATCCAACAATGGAGTTCTTACAGGGGGCTGCTTGTTCCTAGAAAATAGGGAAATAGTCCAGAAATTTCCAGTCATGTTCACCAACTCTGCAATCTTTCATATTATTACAATTAGGGATGCACCAATACTGATACTTGTATCAGTGCCGATACCGAATATTTGGGCGAGTACTCGTACTCGCCCAATTGCTCCAATACTTACCTCCGATACTGGAACGTCTGGTTAGAGGGAGAGTGCCGAGGGAGCATGGAGTCGGCTTCCTAACCAATCAGGAAGCCGGGGGTCATTTAATGACCTGTCTCCTGGCTTCCTGATTGGGTAGGAAGCCAGGCTGCCGAGGAAAAAGTGAAGCCGGCATCCTAGCCAATCATGGAGGCGGGTCATGACGTGCTGCAGGCTTCATGATTGGCTAGGAAGCTGGCTTCACTTGTTGCTAGGCAGCCTGGCTTCCTACCCAATCAGGAAGCCGGACAGCACCTCATGACCCACCGCCCAGCTTACTGATTGGTCAGATAGCCAGGCAGTCTCGGCAAATGAAGTCAGTGTTCTTTCGATAGCACACCGGCTTCCAATGCATTCAGGAAGCCGGTCGACGGGTCATGATCTGCCGCCCGACTTCCTGATAATCAGGGCAGATGGCACCAGTATCAGTACTCGGCATCGCCAAGTACCAGAAAAAAAATATCGGTGTTCGATACCAAAAAAACTGTATCGGTGCATACCTAATTACAATGGTCTAAGTCTATTCCCAGATTAACCCCCCCCATAAAAACAAAAATGTACCCATGCAGTGAGGCTGCCTTCAGTCAGTTCTTGTCTGGGTATGGTGTAAAGCACTTTACGTACCTGAACCCCGTTACTCTGGCGGTCGGCATCCTCCTCTCTGCTGTTTAGCGTGGATGGAGGAATGTTTTTAGATTTCTTCTATTCAAGCCCACAGACTACTAGATGATAATTAGGTTATATATAGGGAGTAATCCAGTTCCTCATGTACTAAGGTGAGACTACCAGATGATAACTATGTTACAAATAGGAATTACACCAGTTCTTCATGTATTAAGGTGAGACTACTAGATAATAGTGTAAATAGATTACACACAGGGACTTCTCCAGTTCTCATCTACTAAGACAAGACAACTAAATGAAACATTGATTCCATATAGGAATTACTCCAGTTGCTCATGTACTAAGATAAGACTACTAAATGATAGATTCCATATAGGAATTACTCCAGTCCCTCATGTACTAAGGTAAGACTACTAAATGATAGATTCCATATAGCAATTACTGCAGTTCATCATGTACTAAGTTTACAGAATGATTGATTCCATATGGGAATTACTTCAGTTTCTCATGTACTAAGATAAGATTACTAAATGATAGATTCCATATAGGAAATACTTAAATTCTTCGTGTACAAACATTACTAATTTATAGATTCCATTTGGGAATTACTCCAGTTTCTCTTACACTAAGTTGAGACTTGTAGATAATAACTAGATTCTATCTAGAAATGACTCCAGTTCCTCATGTACTAACATGAGACTACTAAATGGTAGATTCCATATAGAAATGACTTCAGTTCCTCATGTACTAAGATGAGACTAATAAATGATAGATTCCATATAGGAATGACTCCAGTTCCTCATGTACTAAGATGAGGCTACTAAACTATAGATTCCATATAGAAATGACTCCAGTTCCTCATGTACTAAGATGAGACTACTAAATGATAGATTCCATATAGAAATGACTTCAGTTCCTCATGTACTAAGATGAGACTAATAAATGATAGATTCCATATAGAAATGACTCCAGTTCCTCATGTACTAAGATGAGACTACTAAATGATAGATTCCATATAGAAATGACTCCAGTTCCTCATGTACTAAGATGAGACTACTAAATGGTAGATTCCATATAGAAATTACTTCAGTTCCTCATGTACTAACCTTACTGAATGATAGATTCCATATGGGAATTATTCTATATCCTCATGCACTAAGGTGAGGAGTTTAGTGAACACACGTTGCACCATATTTGCACCTAATGGGATTTGTCTTCTATGAAATGGTATGCATTGATCATGTTCGGAGGTTGTGCCCAGCCATTTCCCAATGATTTGCTGTACTGTCAGTGACACAATCGGAATGTATTTGGAGGATGAGCCTGATAGAGTGAATAGTAAAAGCAGGGTGGGTAATGTGTGACAGCGAGGAATGAAATCTTTGTGAATGTGGATGCTGTGGGATCACGCACAGACAGCGCTGAAAGGATGGTGAATGACAATGCTGACTCTTTTGGGTGACAGCCAGAGATTGTCACAGTTCATGATGGATTAAACTGAGGGAGTGAACGTGAATTGTGGAAGTACAATGACAGACGGAGGGTGTGACTGTCGGATATACTGCAGCCTACATTTGAAGAGTCAGCACCCATGGAGGAGAAACCCATTACATTGCTGTATTATTTCTGTACAGAGGGGTAGAGGAAGCATATTGTATCCATCTTCAGCTAGTTCTCCACGTAAAGCATCAGCAGATTGCCAGCAAATTGTACAGGTTCTGAGAGGCCCCATTCACACCTGTAGCTTGAAGATATGAAAATGCTTAACAATAAACATTCCATTGTCTTCTACGGTGCCTGTTCACACCTAAGCACTCATGCGCCTGTAGCAAACCGCCCGTTGCTCCAAAAAGTACAGAAGTTTCTT